ACACCTGTCACACCTGTCTCTGTTTCAGATGGATTTCTACATGTTTTTTTGGAGCGCTGTGTGTTCAACTCCACTGATCCTGACGACATTCAGTTCATTGCCTCTTATTTCTACAATAAACTGGAGTACGTCAGGTTTGACAGTCGAGTCGGGAAAGTTTGTGGGATACACAGAGTACGGAGTGAAGAACGCAGAGAGATGGAACAAAGATACTGCATATCTCGAGGCATGGAGACAAGAGAAGGACAGATACTGTGTTCACAACATCAACAATCTGGACCAAGCCATCCTCTCCAAATCAGGTGAGTCCAGGTCACATGACCCTGTGTGTATGACTCTGTGTGTGTGTATATGACTCGGTGTGTGTATATGACTCGGTGTGTGTATATGACTCGTGTGTGTGTGTGTATGACTCGTGTGTGTGTGTATATGACTCGGTGGTGTGTGTATATGACTCGTGTGTGTGTGTGTATATGACTCGGTGTGTGTGTATATGACTCGTGTGTGTGTGTGTGTGTGTATATGACTCTTGTGTGTGTGTGTGTGTGTGTGTATATGACTCATGTGTGTGTGTATATGACTCGTGTGTGTGTGTGTGTGTATATGACTCGGTGTGTGTGTATATGACTCGGTGTGTGTGTATGATCGGTGTGTGTTATGACTCGGTGTGTGTGTATATGACTCGGTGTGTGTGTGTCGGTGTGTGTGTATATGACTCGGTGTGTGTATATGACTCGGTTGTGTGTGTATATGACTCGGTGTGTGTATATGACTCGGTGTTGTGTGTGTATGACTGGTGTGTGTGTATATGATTCGTGTGTGTGTGTGTATGACTCGGTGTGTGTATATGACTCGGTGTGTGTATATGACTCATTGTGTGTATATGACTCGTGGTGTGTGTGTGTGTGTGTATATGACTCGTGTGTGTGTGTGTGTGTATATGACTCGGTGTGTGTGTGTATGACTCGGTGTGTGTGTGTATGACTCGGTGTGTGTGTATATGACTCGGTGTGTGTGTGTGTGTGTGTGTGTGTATATGACTCGGTGTGTGTATATGACTCGGTGTGTGTGTGTGTGTGTGTGTGTTATATGACTCGTGTGTGTGTGTGTGTGTATATGACTCGGTGTGTGTGTGTATATGACTCGTGTGTGTGTGTGTATGACTCGTGGTGTGTGTGTATATGACTCGGTGTGTGTGTGTGTGTGTATATGACTGTATGTGTGTGTGTGTATGACTCGGTGTGTGTATGACTCGGGTGTGTGTGTATGACTCGGTGTGTGTGTATATGACTCTGGTGTGTGTGTATGGTGTGTGTATATGACTCGAGTGTGTGTGTGTGTATGACTCGGTGTGTGTGTATATGACTCGGTGTGTGTATATGACTCGTGTGTGTGTGTGTGTGTGTATGACTCGGTGTGTGTATATGACTCGGTGTGTGTATATGTGTGTGTGTATGACTCGGTGTGTGTATGACTCGTGTGTGTGTGTGTGTGTATATGACTCGGTGTGTGTGTGTATATGACTCGGTGTGTGTGTATATGACTCGGTGTGTGTGTATATGACTCGGTGTATGTGTATATGACTCGGTGTGTGTATATGACTCGGTGTGTGTGTATATATGACTCGGTGTGTGTGTGTATATATGACTCGGTGTGTGTGTGTGTGTATATATGACTCGGTGTGTGTGTGTGTGTATATGACTCGGTGTGTGTATATGACTCGGTGTGTGTGTGTGTGATCGGTGTGTGTATATGGTCGGTGTGTGTGTATATGACTCGGTGTGTGTGTGTGTATATGACTCGGTGTGTGTGTGTCGGTGTGTGTGTGTGTATATGACTCGTGTGTGTGTGTGTATATGTGTGTATATGACTGTGTGTGTGTGTATATGACTCGGTGTGTGTGTGTGTATATATGACTGTGTGTGTGTGTGTGTGTGTGTATGACTCGTGTGTGTGTGTGTGTGTGTGTGTGTGTATATGACTCGGTGTGTGTGTGTGTATATGACTCGGTGTGTGTGTGTGTATATGACTCGGTGGTGTTTGTATATATGACTCGTGTGTGTGTGTGTATATGACTCGGTGTGTGTGTATATGACTCGGTGTGTGTGTGTATGACTCGGTGTGTGTGTGTATACGACTTGGTGTGCGTGTGTGTATATGACTCGGTGTGTGTGTGTGTGTATGACTCGGTGTGTGGTGTGTGTATATGACTCGGTGTGTGTGTGTATATGACTCGGTGTGCGTGTGTGTATATGACTCGGTGTGCGTGTGTGTATATGACTCGTTGTGTGTGTGTGTGTGTATATGACTCGGTGTGTGTGTGTGTGTGTGTGTGTGTGTATGACTCGGTGTGTGTGTGTGTGTGTGTATATGACTCGGTGTGTGTGTGTGTATATGACTCGGTGTGTGTGTGTGTATATGTGTGTGTGTATATGACTCGGTGTGTGTGTGTGTGTGTATTATGACTCGTGTGTGTGTTGACTCGGTGTGGTGTGTGTATATGATGTGTGTGTGTGTGTATATGACTCGTGTGTGTGTGTGTGTATATGACGGTGTGTGTGTGTGTATATGACTCGGGTGTGTGTGTGTGTGTGTGTGTGTATATGACTCGGTGTGTGTGTGTGTGTATATGACTCGGTGTGTGTGTGTGTGTGTGTGTGTGTGTATGACTCGGTGTTGTGTGTGATAATGACTCGTGTGTGTGTGTGTGTATATGACTCGTGTGTGTGTATATGACTCGGTGTGTGTGTGTATATGACTCGGTGTGTGTGTGTGTGTGTGTGTGTGTATATGTGTGTGTGTGTATATGACTCGGTGTGTGTGTATGATGGTGTTGTGTGTATATGTGTGTGTGTGTATATGACTCGTGTGTGTGTGTGTGTGTATATGACGGTGTGTGTGTGTATATGACTCGGTGTGTGTATATGACTCGGTGTGTGTGTGGTGTGTATATGACTCGGTGTGACTGTGTGGTGTATATGACTGTGTGTGTATATGACTCGGTGTGTTGTGTGTATATGACTCGGTGGTGTGTGTGTGTATATGACTGGGTGTGTTGTGTATATGACTCGGTGTGTGTTCCAGTGGAGCGTACGCGGTGCTGAGCTCAGCGCCCTCTGCTGGCAGTGACAGGGTCCTGGTCTGCAGCGTCTACGGCTTTTACCCCGAACACATCAGTGTGTCCTGGACCAAACCACCAGCAGAGTCTGACGACCGGAGTGACCACGGACTGACCTGCAGCCAGACGGCAGACTGGTACTACCAACTGCACTCACAGACTCCAGGTACTCCTACTAAAACCAGGACTACTAAACAGGACTGGACCAGGACCAGGACTAAAACCAGGACTAAACCAGGACTAAACCAGGTACTCAGGACCAGGACTAAACCAGGACTAAACCAGGACTAAACCAGGACTAAACCACTGGACCAGGACTAAACCAGGACTAAACAGGACTAAACCAGGTACTGGACCAGGACTAAACCAGGACTAAACCAGGTACTGGACCAGGACTAAACCAGGACTAAACCAGGACTAAACCAGGACTAAACCAGGTACTGGACCAGGAAACCAGGACTAAACCAGGACTTTCTAAACTTGTCTCTGTGCAGGTCTGGAGACCAGATTTCCTGTGTGATTGAACACAAGAGTCTCAAAGAACCAATGGTTCCCTGGTCACTGGGGTAAGACCTCAGGTGTGTGTCAGGTCCCTGTGTGTCAGGTCCCTGTGTGTCAGGTCCCTGTGTGTCAGGTCCCGTGGTCCCGTGTGTCAGTGTGTGTGTGTTCAGGTGTCAGGTGTGTGGTGTCGGTGTGTGTCAGGTGTGTGTGTCAGTGTGTGTGTGTGTGTCAGTGTGTTGGTGTGTGTGTCAGTGTGTGTCGGGTCAGGTGTGTCAGGTGTGTGTGTGTCAGTGTCAAGGTGTGTGTCAGTCAGTGTGTGTGTCAGTGTGTGTGTCAGGTGTGTGTCAAGGTGTGTGTGTGTCAGGTGTGTGTCAGGTGTGTGTGTCAGTGTGTGTGTCAGGTGTGTGTCAGTGTGTGTGTGTCAGGTGTGTGTGTCAGGTGTGTGTCAGGTGTGTGTCAGGTGTGTGTGTCAGGTGTGTGTGTCAGGTGTGTGTTGTCAGGTGTGTGTCAGTGTGGTGGTGTGTGTGTGTCAGTGTGTGTGTCAGGTGTGTGTCAGGTGTGTCAGTGTGTGTCAGGTGTCAGTGTGTGTGTCAGGTGTGTGTGTCAGGTGTGTGTCAGGTGTGTGTCAGTGTGGTGTCAGGTGTGTGTGTGTCAGGTCAGGTGTGTGTCAGTGTGTGTGTCAGGTGTGTGTCAGGTGTGTGTCAGGTGTGTCAGGTGTGTGTCAGGTGTGTGTCAGGTGTCAGGTGTGTGTCAGGTGTGTGTGTCAGGTGTGTGTCAGGTGTGTGTCAGGTGTGTGTGTGTCAGGTGTGTGTGTCAGGTGTGTGTCAGGTGTGTGTCAGGTGTGTGTCAGGTGTGGGTGTGTGTCAGGTGTGTGTGTCAGGTGTGTGTCAGGTGTGTGTCAGGTGTGTCAGGTGTGTGTGTCAGGTGTGTGTGTCAGGTGTGTGTCAGGTGTGGTGTCAGTGTCAGTGTGTCAGGTGTGTGTCAGGTGTGTGTCAGGTGTCATGTGTGTGTGTGTCAGGTGGTGTCAGGTGTGTGTCAGTGTGTCAGGTGTCAGGTGTGTGTCAGTGTGTGTGTCAGGTGTGTGTCAGGTGTGTGTCAGTGTGTGTCAGGTTGTGGTGTCAGTGTGTGTCAGGTGTGTGTCAGGTGTGGTGTCAGTGTGTGTGTCAGGTGTGTGTCAGGTGTCAGGTGTGTGTCAGGTCAGGTGTGTGTCAGGTGTCGGGTGTGTGTCAGTGTGTGTGTGTCAGTGTGTCAGTGTGTGTGTCAGGTGTGTGTGTGTGTGTGTGTGTGTGTGTCAGTGTGTGTGTGTGTGTGTGTCAGGTGTGTGTCAGTGTGTGTGTCAGGTGTGTGTGTGTGTGTGTGTGTGTCAGGTGTGTGTCAGGTGTGTGTCAGGTGTCAGGTGTGTCAGGTGTGTGTGTCAGGTGTGTGTCAGGTGTCAGGTGTGTGTCAGGTGTGTGTCAGGTGTGTGTCAGGTGTGTCAGGTGTGGGGTGTGTGTCAGGTGTGGTGTGTGTCAGGTGTGTGGTGTGTGTGTCAGGTGTGGTGTCAGGTGTGTGTGGTGTGTGTGTCAGGTGTCAGGTGTGTGTCAGTGTGTCAGGTGTCAGGTGTGTGTCAGGTGTGTGTCAGTGTGTCAGGTGTGTGTCAGGTGTGTGTCAGGTGTGTGTCAGGTGTGTGTCAGTGTGTGTGTCAGTGTGGTGTCAGGTGTGTGTCAGTGTCAGTGTGTGTCAGTGTGTCAGGTGTGTGTCAGGTGTGTGTCAGGTGTGTGTCATGTGTGTCAGGTGTGTGTCAGGTGTGTGTCAGGTGTGTGTGTGTGTGTCAGGTGTCAGGTGTGTGTCAGTGTTGTCAGGTGTCAGTGTGTCAGGTGTGTGTCAGGTGTGTGTCAGTGTGTGTCAGGTGTGTGTGTCAGGTGTGTGTGTGTGTGTCAGGTGTGTGTCAGGTGTGGTGTCAGTGTGTGTGTCAGGTGTGTGTGTCAGGTGTGTGTCAGGTGTGTGTCAGTGTGTCAGGTGTGTGTCAGTGTGTGTGTCAGGTGTCAGGTGTGTGTCAGGGTGGTGTCAGGTGTGTGTCAGTGTGTGTCAGGTGTGTGTCAGTGTGTCAGGTGTGTGTGTCAGGTGTGTGTCAGGTGTGTGTCAGGTGTGGGTGTGTGTCAGGTGTGTGTGTTCAGTGTGTGTGTCAGGTGTGTGTGTCAGGTGTCAGTGTGTGTGTCAGGTGTGTGTCAGGTGTCAGGTGTGTGTCAGGTGTCAGGTGTGTGTCAGGTGTGTGTCAGGTGTGTGTGTGTCAGGTGTGTGTCAGGTGTGTGTCAGGTGTGTGTCAGGTGTGTGTGTGTGTGTCAGTGTGTAGTCAGGTGTGTGTCAGGTGTGTGTCAGGTGTGTGTGTGGTGTGTGTGTCATGTGTGTGTGTGTGTGTGTGTGTCAGGTGTGTGTGTCAGTGTGTGTGTCAGGTGTGTGTGTGTGTGTGTCAGGTGTGTGTGTGTCAGGTGTGTGTGTGTGTCAGTGTGTCAGGTGTGTGTGTCAGGGTGTGTGTCAGGTGTGTGTCAGGTGTGTGTGTCAGGTGTGGTGTGTCAGGTGTGTGTCAGGTGTGTCACAGGTGTCAGGTGTGTGTGTCAGGTGTGTGTCAGGTGTGTGTCAGGTGTTGTGTCAGGTGTGTTCAGGTGTCAGGTGTGTGTGTCAGGTGTGTGTCAGGTGTCAGGTGTGTGTGTGTGTGGTGTGTGTCAGGTGTGTGTCAGGTGTGTGTCAGTGTCTGTGTGGTCAGGTGTGGTCAGGTGTGTGTCAGGTGTGTGTCAGGTGTCAGGTGTGTCAGGTGTCAGGTGTGTGTGGTGTGTGTCAGGTGTGTGTCAGGTGTGTGTCAGGTGTGTGTCAGTGTGTGTGTGTCAGGTGTGGGGGTGTGTGTGTGTGTGGTGTGTGTCAGGTGTGTGTGTCAGGGTGTGTGTGTGTCAGGTGTGTGTCAGTGTGTCAGGGTGTGTCAGTGTCAGGTGTGTGTCAGGTGTCAGGTGTGTGTGTCAGGTGTGTGTCAGGTGTGTGTCAGGTTGTGTCAGGTGTCCAGCAGTTGTGTGGGTGTGTGTCAGGTGTGGTGTTGTCAGGTTTGTGTCAGTGTGTTGTCAGGTGTCCAGGTGTGTGTCAGTGTGTGTCTGTGTGTGTGTATTGTGTCAGTTGTGTCCACTGTGTGTCAGGTGTCAGGTGTGTGTCGGGTGTGTGTCAGGTGTGTGTAGGTGTGTGTCAGGTGTGTGTGTGTGTGTGTGTCAGTGTGTCAGGTGTGTGTCAGGTGTCAGGTGTCAGGTGTGTGTCAGGTGTCAGTGTGTGCAGGTGTGTGTCAGGTGTGTGTCAGTGTGTCAGTGTGTGTGGTCAGGTGGTGGGTGTGTGTCAGGTGTGTGTCAGTGTGGGGTGAGTGTGTCAGGTGTGTGTAGTGTGGTGTGTCAGTGTGTGTGTCAGTGTGTCAGGTGTGTGTGTCAGGTGTGTCAGTGTGTGTGTGTGTTCAGGTGTGTGTCGGTGTGTGTCAGTGTGTGTGTCATGTGTGGTGTTGTTGTGTCAGGTGTCAGGGTGTGTGTCATGTGTTGTGTGTCAGTGTGTCAAGTCATCATTTGTGTCAGGTGTGTGTCAGGTGTGTGTGTGTGTCAGGTGTGTGTCAGGTGTGTGTGTGTGTGTGTCAGGTGTGTGTCAAGGTGTCAGGTGTGTGTCCAGGTGTGTGTCAGGTGTGTGTCAGGTGTGTGTCAGGTGTGTGTCAGGTTGTGTGTCAGTGTGTGGTGTGTGTGTGTCAGTGTGTGTGTCAGTGTGTGTGTCAGTGTGTGTGTCAGGTGTGTGTCAGTGTGGGGGTGTGGTGTGTCAGGTGTGTGTCAGTGGTGTGTGTCAGGTGTGTGTGTGTCAGGTGTGTGTCAGGTGTGTGGTGTCAGGTGTGGTGTCAGGTGTCGTGTGTGTGTGTGTCAGGTGTCAGGTGTGTGTCAGGTGTGTGGTGTGTCAGGTGTGTGTGTCAGGTGTCAGGTGTGTGTCAGTGTGGTGTGTGTGGTCAGGTGTGTGTCAGGTTGTTGTGTGTCAAGGTGGTGTGTGTCTGTGTGTCAGTGTGTGTCAGTGTGTGTCAGGTGTCAGGTGTGTGTTCAGGGTGTGTGTCAGGTGTGTGTCAGGTGGTGT